AGAGTGTGTGTTAGTGTAGTGAATGCAGAATGTGCTAATGTGTAGTGAATTCAGAGAGTGTGTTAGTGTGTAGCGGATGCATAGTGTGTGTTAGTGTAATGTGTAGTGAATGCAGAGAGTGTGTTAGTGTGTAGCGGATGCAGAGTGTGTGTTAGTGTAGTGAATGCAGAGTGTGTTAATGAGTAGCGAATGCAGAGTGTGTGTCAGTGTAGTGGATGCAGTGAGTGTGTTAGTGTGTAGTGTATGCAGAGTGCATGTTGTATTAGTGTATGCAGTGTGCGTATTGTATTAGTGTATGCAGTGTGTGTGTTGTATTAGTGTATGCAGTGTGCGTGTTAGTGTATTCAGAGTGTGTGTTGTGTTAGTGTATGCAGTGTGTGTGTTGTATTAGTGGATGCAGTGGATGTGTTGTGTTAGTGTATGCAGTGTGTGTTTTGTTAGTGTATGCAGTGTGTGTGTTGTATTAGTGTATGCAGAGTGTGTGTTGTGTTAGTGTATGCAGTGTGTGTGTTAGTGTATGCAGTGTGTGTTGTGTTAGTGTATGCAGTGTGTGTGTTTTGTTAGTGTATGCAGTGTGTGTGTAAATGTGCAAACTGGGGAGTGTGCTGGGCCCCCTCTGCGGTAACTGGGAGCCGGGCGCCCGCAGCTGCACACTTAGATAGCGATATTCGCTATCTATGTGCGCAGAGAAAGAAACTGGGGCCCGGGACTGCCAGAGCAGGACCACCGGGCCCGTGACAACCATCATGGTTGTCACCCCCTGATGGCGGCCCTGGGTGCTGTCCCTACATACTTATAAACTCTTAATAAGACAAACATGGGGAGGCTGGTAGCAATGTAACATAGCTGTGTGATGCAAACATCATATACAAACACAAAGATAAAGCACCGCGCTTACAGCAGCAGTAGCTTAGTATCCAACAGCTTAAAATACATAGCAAAAACAAAGAGAATGTTACCTGCGCTCTAGCCTAAATCCCAATGTACATTTAAACAAAATGGAGGCTCTTTAGTTTTATTCCAATGGCCATTTGAATATATAAGCTCACCTGCCTCGTCAAGGCAAGCCTCAATAGGTGAGTTCCTACACTAGCCATTAGAGATGCTGATATCAGCCAAGAATCTCCAGTAAGACAGGAAGGGGGTATTTTATAAACCCTTTCACATTTAACCCTATATAGGGCTTCTACACATATAATAAACTTTGCTGTTGGATACTAAGCTACTGCTACTGTAAGCGCGGTGCTTTATCTTTGTGTTTGTATATCCAAAAATCACCCAGATCAGTTCAGGGGTTCAGAAATTCCATGGAAGCAATTTATTTGATCTACCGCAAGCATGGCCCCATGCTCAAAACAGTTCCAGAGAATCAGGGCTTGCGGTCGGTCTAGTTCAGTAGTTTGAAAACAAACAAACTACCGAACAGAGTCAATAGTCTTACCCTAGAGCTTGTTCCCTTCATCCAGACGAATGACTCCACCAAACAGTGTCCTTCTAACTTGTATAAAACCTAACACAGGCGATGATGAAAGTCTAGCGGTGTTCGGGAGTTTCTGTAGCCGATTTTAGTTCCAGGAGATTCATGCCCAAACACCGCCGCCTGCGTTCATGCGAACAAGAGGGCCACCACCTCGTGGTTGCTTACCGGAAGTGCGGCCACCTAGATGAACAATTAGAACACTGCGGTGAGAAACGTTCCAAGTTGTTAATAGGTGTTAACAAGCTCCAAGGTGGTCTCTGTTTGTGCGGTTGTTCGGTAAACAAACCATATAATCCCAATTGCACGAACAGAGGCTTTTACATTATTTTCCACAGGGTCCATAGTCTGTGGGCAGGAGGCTGGCAAGCAGGCTTCTCCAGGAACTCGTGGCAAACTCGGGTAAAAGAGGAGTTTGCCACATACCTTCCCCTTCCTGGGGAGACTATCCAGATCCCAGAACTCCAGTCCAGGAACTCGTGGCAAACTCAGTTAGAAAGGGGAATTTGCCACAAACCCCTTAGTGACCAGACCGCTTTTCAATTTTTTTTACCATTAAGGACCAGGGCTGTTTTTACATGCCTGCGGTGTTTGTGTTTAGCTGTAACTTTCCTCTTACTCATTTACTGTACCCACACATATTATATACCGTTTTTCTCACCATTAAATGGTCTTTCTAAAGATACCATTATTTTCATTATATGATATAATTTACTTTAAAAAAGTATGAAATATGGTGACAAAAATGTGAAAAAACACACTTTATCTAATTTTGACCCCCAAAGTCTGTTACACATCTACAACTGCCAAAAAATACCCATGCTAAATAGTTTCTAAATTTTGTCCTGAGTTTAGAAATACCCAATGTTAACATGTTCTTAGCTTTTTATGGAACGTTATAGGCCAGGCAATAAGTATAAGTAGCACTTTGCTATTTCCAAACCATTTTTTTTTTCAAAATTAACAAAAGTTACATTGTAACACTGATATCTGTCAGGAATCCCTGAATAACCCTTCACATGTATATATATATTTTTTTAAAGAAGACAACCTAAGGTATTAAACCAGGGGTATTTTGACTCTTTTCATGCTCTTTTCATGCAACCATTTTACCACCAATCTATGCCAAATTTAAAAAAACATAAATAATTGGTGATTTTTTTGACACACATAGCAATTTAAGAATACATGTACAGAGAACTTTAAGGGTTACTGCCAAAGAACACCCCAATATGTGTTCAGCAACATCTCCCAAGTACAGTGATACCACTCATGTATAGGTGTGTTGGGTTCTCTGGGGGCTAAAAAACCTTATTCCAGTTTTCCATGGAATTGTCACAGCTGGTCATCATGCACCCATATCCTACGTGGGACATTTTTGAAGCTGACCTATGTAATTTAACCCCATCAAACCATATATTTTTTTTAAAGTAGACACCCTAGGGCAGGGGTAGGCAACCTACGGCACTAGTGCCATGCACGGCACTCGAGGTGTCTTTGTACGGCACTCAAGGCTGCTAGAGCCAAACACACTCTGGCCTATCAGGAGTCCCAGTAAAACTTCAGATATTTGCTAAGACGAAGAGGTGGTGAAGGACAATCCTCAATTTATGCATTGCAGCACATAGAGGAACTGATCTCAGATCACTGCCTCCCAGCACTTGTGAATGGGAATCCACACTTTAGTAGAGCAGCCCTCGACAGCTATCGCAGCTCCTGTCCTTGACCTGTACCTGGCCAACCTGGTCCCCACTGGAACCCTGGGAACCCACCCACACTGCTAGATATACACAGAAATGCAGAATAACCCTCCCCTCATACAAATAATATGAACAGCCCACAAACAAACAAACGCAACACCACTAACAATACACATACATGCACACAACCCCACATGCAGCCTCTCACATGCAATACCCCAAATATCTCCTGAGTACAACAGTGCCCCCTATGTAAAGGTTGTATGGGTTATTGAGAACTTACAGGGGTATAATACATGTTACTGCTCTAAAACACTCATATTTGTGTAGAGTAATGTCTCACGAGTACAACAGTACCCCTCAAGTACATGTTTTATGGTGATTTGCCAATTTCTGTTTTTGTAAATTGCTATTTGCCAGATTGACTATGTTGCCTTTGAGACGGTATGGCAGCCCAGAAATGAAAATTAACCCCACCATGACATACCATTTGAAAAAGAAGACAACCCAGGGTATTCAAAATTGGGTATTTCCAGTCTTTTGTAGTAGTCACTTAGTCACAAACGTTCACCAAGTTAGCAGTTTTATTTGTTTTTTATCATTGTTTTTTTTAAAATTTATATTATATATATATAATATATATATATTTATATATAATGTGTGTGTGTGTGCATATATATATATATATATAATGTGTGCATATATGTATATGTATATATATATATACAAATATATACTTATAATACGTGTGTATATAATACGTGTGTGTGTATATATATATATATATATATTTATATATATATATATACACACACACACACATACAGACTTTTATTTCCTATCTATGTATATGTTATAATTAAAGCATTTTATATTATACATATATAATGCATATATATGATTTCATTATAAGTGTATTTTGAGATATATGTGTATATATTTAAAAGTACACTTATAATGAAATCATATATATGCATTATATATGTATAATATATTATAAAATGCTTTAATTATTTAATAATATATTATACATATATAATATATGTATAATATATATATATATATATTTATTTTTTACTTTGTAGCAGCATGGGGGACTGCCTGACAGCTCAGACAGTCCCCCTGCTGGCAGCTCCTATTGCGGCGATGTGATCACGGTCCTTAACAACTGTTTTTTGTCGGACATACCCAGTATGTCACGATTGTTAAGGGGAGATGTATTTATAACGTCATTCTAAATGTATTTTAATTTAAATATATATGTATATCAATAGCAAAATACACTTGGAACAAATTTAAGCCAATATATAATATTTTTAAAATGTAATTTTATTATTATTTTTTGTCAATTTATGTATTGATTATTTTTATTTATATATCTCTCTCTCTCTCTCTCTCTCTCTCTATATATATATATATATATATATATATATAAAATTAACGTTATTCTAAGTGTATTTTACTATATATATATATATATATATATATACATATATATATATATATATATATATATACATATATATATACATATATATAATTATGTTAAAAACAGATCAAATTCGTATCTTGTAATACCTTTTTTATTGGATTAACAGAATTTAATGACAAGCTTTTGGGAGAACCTCCCTTTCTTAAGTCTGAAGCATTTCTTAAACACTATATATAATTATATAGATTAATATTAAAATACACTTTTAATAATGATTTATGTATGTGTATGTGCATATAAAAGTACTTAGATCATATATATATATATATATATATATATGTACATATATAAAAATGTATGATCTAAGTAATTTTATTAAACTTTATAATAACTCTTATTTGCTTTTTAAACTTTTGTGCAGGCATTAGGGGGGCTGCCTAAGAGCTCAGACAAGCCCCTTGCAGGCACTGCACAAGCCAGCTATTCCAACCATGTGAACCCGAGGACCCCGCGATCACATGGCATGGGAGGGCCGGATCGGGCAGAGGGGGTCTGGATCGGGCAGTGGCAGACCCCAGGATCGCGATTGCCGGCGTGGGATCGTCAGCGATCAGTTAAGTGGGGATTTACTATTGGACGTACCAGGTACGTTCGAGGTCATTAACTGCCGTTTTTTGTCGGACGTACCTGGTACGTCCATGGCCGGGAAGGCGTTAAAGGACAACTGTCACCTCAACATTATTTTTTAATATAATGACCCTTTTATCAAGTTTTGAAAGGAAATATATTGTGTGTTATATGAAGAATATGCAAAAAAAGGATAAAAACTCATCTCCACCTTTTGTACGGTAAATGACAGGATAATTCAGCCATATATATGCACCTCGGGTCAGACAAAATTTAAAAAAAAACAGTGCACTTACATCAATAGAACACTTACTGTCATATTAAAACACTGTCTGACCCAAGGTATATGGAAATGGCTGAAAGGTCCTGCTATAACCTAAAGGTAGGGATGGGTTTTTCCTCAACTTTTACATATACTTAATTTAACAAAGAATCAATTTTTCCTTTTTTTAAACTTGCTGAAAGGATCACTATATTAAAAGATAGTTTGGAAGTGCAAGCCTTCTTCACTAGAGGATCAGCTGTGTATGTTAAATATTTTTACCCAAACGCTCCCTCTTCTTTTTCAAACTTGGAATTATTATTTTATCATTCTACATACATGTGATGGTCCCTCTTTTAGTTTACCATATCATGTTATGTCATCCTTATATGTAAGATTCCCATTTCCTTATCTTTTCAACCAAATAATCCTCATTCTCATTCCATTAAAGTAAACCACTACTGCAGACACTACATATGATGTATCATTTTGTCACAGTACAATAGAAACATTTAATTTTGTCAAATTACATACATATTGGCATTTCAAATTTAACATGTTCTTGTCTCTGGCTTATAATTACAACATACATGTCATTTTTTTTCAAACTAGAATGTGACTCTAGGCATTTATGAATGAATGTGTTTGAATAGAGCAATAGGTCATATATGATGTAACATGTCATCTTGAGGATTCATACAACATAGGAGCCTTTGTGAGCTGTAGGATGTACCTACACTTTTAAAGCATAAACATATATAAATGTGTTTGTATGTATAATTTGACCAATTTACTATTTAGCCATATGACAGATTTAAAAATATAGATTTTTTTTTCTGATTACAACTCAACCTCTATAGGTGTCGTCTTGAATGACAATCCAGTGTTCTTTTTTTTATCCCATGTTCTATGTTCACCACCTTTGTTGACTTTATGAATTTTCTTAATATATTTTATATAAAAAGTCTTTATAGTCCAGTATTTTTTTTAAGGATCTCCAATATGTTCATAATATGTGTAATGTGCACTACAGCAGTAAATACAAATTTTTATCACAAGGTCTGTGTTAACTCATTCTGTTTTATATATATATATGCTGTGCTATGAACTTGTTTAAGATAAAGAAGAGTTGAACTTGATGGACTTTAGTCTTTTTTAAACCTAGACTACTGTATAACTATGTAACAGGGTAGATAATGTAGATAAGTTAGGCATTCATGGCTGCAATTGTTCTTGTGGTCTGAAGGAATTCTACACTCTTCAATTCCATCAAACTTGGAGGGACATTTCACTATGGTGTTGCTGCCTTCTTTCCATATATCTGCCTTTTAACATATGAACTTCACACGAAATGTTGCATTTCAAAGAATCCACAAAAATAGGATCGATAACAATATCATACTAAACAATTAGATGGCATCTGGTTAAAAATATCAAGATGTCCTTTCAGATGCGATTAGACATAAGGCGTGTGTTTAGCTTCTTAAAGAAAGACCTTAACTTGCAAATTTTACATTTCTTTTTTCTGTTTGCATTTTTTTGGTGTCCTCCCATTGTAATCCAGTTTTCTTCTTCCTCTTCATCTTCTTCACTGGCCCATGGTCCCCATGCACCTCCATTCAAATCAGGGTTGCCCCTGGGATCCTCAGCAGGATACCGTACAGGGATAGCAGTGTGGTTATAGTATGACAAGCGTATCATAAGCTCCTTAACTATATCTGGCTTTACTGCAGACAAGTCGTGGCGCTCATATGGGTCAGCTGTGATGTTGAAAAGCCACAAGGACTTACGGGCCCCATCTGTGTGTCTTTCTAAATTCCACCAGCTACCAGGAAAGTTGGTGAGGGTTTGTGGTGGAATCCAGTCACTGTAACCTGGGTCACCAGTCAAGAGTTTGAAGTCTTTAACTCTAATGGAGGCCTGCACTGCTGTATTCCACACTCCTTGCCCCTCCTCCAAAGAACCAGACCTGGCAAAGTTATACAGAGGGTCAATGTTGTGCAATATTTCAGTCCTGGGTGATTCCATCCCTTCACTAATAGCCCCCCATACATCATAGCCATCCAGTCCTTCAGTGTCTGAAATATTACCCCCTGCCAGCTTCACCAATGTGGGATACCAGTCTGTAATATGCATTAGGGCTCGGCTAGTTCTTCTTTTCTTTTTAATTAATGGGCTGTGTACAAAGCCCAAACCCCTAATTCCACCTTCCCAATATGTCCCTTTTCGACCCCTCAGAGGCCAATTGCTACCTCCAGAAAATGTCTGTCCTCCATTGTCAGATGAGAAGATAATTATGCTGTTGTCATAGTAACCATATTTTTTCAATGCTCGAGTTATATTTTTCACTGCTGCATCCATACAGGTCACCATGGCAGCATACTTGCGTCTTGCCACGTTACCCATGTTTCTATAGGGATAGATATACTCACGAGGAGACTGTAAAGGTGTATGTACAGCCTGGAATGCCACATATATAAAGATAGGTTGCTGGGGACTATGAGAAGCCAGTATTTGATGTACACGCTGAGAATACAAGATCGTAGAGTATTTCCCGGCTTTATCCCAAGCAACATCTTCCCCTTCGTGTAGGTCAAAACCACAGACTCCAGGTCCATCACAGTTATCATATGTGTAGTAGTCCACATTTCCAGTCAGTGAGCCAAGGAATGTATCAAAACCACGTCGTGTGGGCAGGCATTCTTTCTTATAGAAACCCAAGTGCCACTTGCCCACCATATGAGTAGAGTAGCCAGCATCCTGCAGTTTCTGTGGCAAAGTAACCTGATTAAGCGGCAAGCAGTTGGGCTGCCGTGGTCGTATGATGGAGTGCTGTAGCCCAGTGTGGATTTGGTACCTTAAAAAGGAAAACAGAGATAATATTAGGTAGTTTCAAAATTTGACATTAATGCTTTTATGTTTTTTTTTTTTTTAATAAACCTAGTTCAGGGATATCTTGCCTTTAGCTCAAGTTACCTAACCAGGGTGAAAGTTTGGTTTTTGATGACTCATGCCCCTTATGCTTACAATGTCTACAATAACACATGCCCCAGAGACAAAAAAAAAGATTAAAAAATGTATATAGATAGAGTTGTGAGGCACACAATGTTCTTGTTCCAACTGCATCACCACAATGTCTATTGTTAGACATGTTCGAAACTGTAACTTCTGCAGAAGGCTTCCGTATCTGTCCTAGAATTAAAGTGGCATAGTCATCTTGGGCGTTTGCTTTTTTGCAAAGATCCTGAAGGTGTCATTCCTACTTTGTGTGCAGTTGCCCTGGGGTGCAGCTTAAGTTAGGTATACTTACCTGCAGATGGCCCCCATAGCACCACCATGCTTTCTCTCCTTTTTTATGACCAGGTGCAGCTGCATGCATGAAAGTACAGCATTGAAGCCTATGAATACCTTGGGAATCTCCCTGAAACAACACTCCTGATCCACAAGAAGATGAACTGCCCCCCTATTAAACCCTGTAAAAAGTATTTCTTACCAAGAATAAACATATTCCCTAAAGCCCACTCACTCACTCACTCACTCACCATTCGTGTAAATAGGTCCCTGTAAAATACAAAAAGCTTGAATATTGTATTCTGCAGCTGGAGAGAACAGAAATATCCCCCTGCTACATATACCAGTCCTTTAACCTTTACATACTCTTATGGCTGATTTTTACACTTGTTCGTAAGTGTGAATTGATAGCTGTTTGAAAAATGGCATTGAAATTAGTAATTACATATTATGTTTGGTGTCCAGAAAATTATGTCATAAGATTCTCATATTTACTATAAAATATACTCTAATATAAATGAGTGGCATACCTATGTGTACATAATTTACAAATCTGAACTGAAGTTACACAAAACAGGAATGAGGCTTGGCTTCAATGGTCTCCAGTATGTCAAAGGTAAGTCAGATTTAAGCCATTGCCATAGAAGTGTTGTTGTCCAAGCCAGAATTTTGGTAACCAGTGATCAGAAGGAGAAGTAGGTGAATCAAGAATCACAGACAAGAACAAAATATCTATCTAAAGGAAGGCTTTACCATGCTGATCTTAAGGCAGAGATGCACCAGAATGACCAATCTGGAGCTCCACTGGAAGATTAATAGGTTGGATCTGGGCTAGAATACAGGAGTGACACAGGAACATTCTGCATCACCTTGGATATGCAGATGGTATGTAGCGGAGCTCCAATACCCAGCATAGGTATCTCTGCTATTTCTTCCTCGAAGCTAAAAGAAGCAGTATAAAAAACCACAACACTTCCCCCCCCAACAACTAGACGACCCATAGTTCTGGGAGTCAACTCCTTTTATTTTGGCCACACACGGCTTTTATGCACCGACCCCTACATGGGGTCTCTTATACAAAAATACAGGGCTTTTCCTCCCAAGAGCCTCTGTGCCTGAGAGATAATTGCGTGAGAAAAATATATAACTCAATTATCTCTCAGGTACAGAAAAATCTACAATATTTTAAGACACCCCAAAAATACATTTTATACTTCAGAACCCCATGAAAGTCATATCACTGAATAGCTTGGATCTGAGCACACACTTTGAAGAAATATCACTCAGATCCCTTTAGTGGTTCGGGAACGCCATTCGAATAAAGTTTTCATCATCCACAAGGTGATGCCCCAAAATAGTTCCAGAGAAAACAAGGCACGGCCGGTCATCTTTCGGGGGTTCTCTCTTGAACACTGATGAATCTATCCCCTGGCTTGTTTAAACACATGAGTTCAGTTATATGAATGGCAGACACACAGGGGAACACTTGAACTAATAACCAATTTGTGGTTAACAGCCAGGGCCGGTCGGTAATTAAAAGGTGCGAACAAGGGCACCACAGAGTTGATTTGGTAAACAAATGGGGCCATACGGACAGTGGAAGCAAAAGGGAATAAAAGTGTAGCTAGAGCATCCATTCTGCTACATGGTGCTATCTAAGATTTGGTGTGGGACTTCAAGAGTGTCTGCATTGTTTTGGGGTGTGCATGCACCCTGACATGCTTGTTTCATCCTTTGCATTGCAAGCTTGTGGAATAAATAAATGGCCCAATGGTGTGAAGTACATTTGTGCATGTTATAGTCATTAGTCAAAAGTAGGCTCCAGATATACAACTAAGCAAGCTTAACAGTCATTTTGTAGGTGAGTATATCTTTGAGGTGGTTCACTTTTTACTAGCACATGGGGATTTTTTTGCTGTACTCAGGAAGGAAAAAAAAGACTGAGTCACAAGCATTTATGGTTATGATGTCTAACATTCTTTGGATTTAGTTCATATGTATTACTCAATGTCTCCCTAAGTTGAGAATGTTGTTAGACAGTAGCTGTGTATCTTATGAATAATGATAAAACAGAAAAGCAGTTTGAGAGATTTTCACTTAGCTTGGGTTGCTACTCCTTTACTCAACATAACTAGAGTTAATCAGCTGCTTGTAACATGCGCTTACAATAAATTAGGCATTCTCTTAGGTAAGTTTTCAGGAGCAGATGGACCACATTCAATTCAGCTGAGTCAAGCCAAGTTTGATCTGTGATGAGTGAAGGTCCAAATGTGATAATTCAGAGATAAACTCTTCAGAATTAATACATTCAAGGTAGACTTGTGCACATATGGTATATTCTGTCTGTATGTACCTAACTAACTATAACTTCATGGAATGATAGCCCACACCTTTAATGGGTTTTAATTAAGTAAGGAGCCAGTACCATTGGGAACTGGTTTGGATTAATGGTTCCAACACATGATGTACACAGTGTTTCCACCTGGCTCTGCCTCCATGTCTGAGATAATCAGTCTTGATTTTCTCAGCCAATCCAATGCTTTCCCATAGGAAAATTGAATCTCATAGAGATGCATTGAATGCAGAGAGTGGAGAACTCTGAACACTGAACATAGATAGGAAGCACCTCGAGTGCATTACATTAAGGAGCCTACAGAGACACGCTATACAGGGACACACTATAGACACCAGAACCAGTACATTAAGCTGTAATGGTTCTGGTGACAATAGTTCCCCTTTAATGCCAGTAAATCAGACATACAACTAACCTTTTCTCTTTTTCACACAAGAAAAAATGATATTGATTTGGCATTGGGTAAATGAACGTTGATTTGCGTAAACTGATTTGCCTGCTGTAGTTTAAATAAATAACTTTACTCAGGTAGATACAGCCCATCTTTCTAGAAATCAGGAAGTGACTCCCACAGGGAATTCTGTTTGCACTGCGAAACCTTACACCTAAAAGAAAGCTACTGTTTGGAAGCATAACGAATGTAATGAATGAATGATGCTATCTGTCCATCTTGTGGAGAACCAATCTAGAGCATTGTGTTAGTTGCCCAGCTGGATTTGTAAGAGGCTAATGTCAGGAGTACTAAACAGGATTAAGGCTGTTTTCTCTCTAGGACAACATGGGTTAATATAACATAGGAGGGAAGCCAAAATACCTCTTTTCTTTGGCATGAATTGCAGGCTACACAAGTGGAGTCTTGTTTACATTTTCACTTGCACTAGGCTTTCTGCAAATGACCCTCTTGGAAGTCTACCACTGGCCATTGCCAACTATGTTTCCAGGATACACTTAAGTTCTTAGCTTAAAGGAAGACTAATACTGAAGGTAGATTTCCCTATATGAAAGAGAATTTTGTACAAGTAATACATAAACACACAGAAAGTATGGTACCTCATGGGTTAAGATATGTAAAATGATTACAGACTGAGAGAAAGCAGTACTATGTTACCCTTACTTCCTTGTGTATTTGGTTCACTATGAACTTTATAAACTATTCATTTTATTTATAAAGCACTAACACACTCTTTACAATGCGAAAGTGAAACCCATTCATAAATAAAAGCAGAAAAATGGAGGCATGCAGGACAAAGGGTTGAAGAAACACGGCTCTGTCTAAAGGAAGCGAGATAGCATTTTAAAAAGGTAAACACACAAGATGTACAATCCACATCTAACTATATACATTCATTTTAGAAATGTTGTGATGCATTTGGGAATGGACTGACACTAAATATGAACCCTTAAATGGCCACACAACTGTGTTCCATTAATGGACCTCACCAAAACAATAACTAAGGGGCAAGCAATAGTTGCTTTTGAATCTTTTGTCAAACTACACCTCCCATGATGCTTTTCCAATATATGGAAATGTCATATTCAACCTGAAATTTAGCGAGTTTGCTCTCAAACCTGAAACTCAGGATCAAACACTGGGAATTGCCAAGGATACATGAAAGCCAACAAAAGAGGTGCAACGTTTACAAAAAGTTTTTAAGTTCTGCCATAATGCATCACCCCATAAATACACATTACAAATGTCCCAAACATGCTCAGTCATAAACTACGATCTCTATACTTTCCGTTTTATTCTTCTCTCGTTTGAGTTCACATAGCAGTGAAAGAAAGCTACACATAGGCAGTGAATCAGAACAATGCATTATAGTAAACTGAAGTCAGGCACAATAGCACAATGGGTAAGAGGAAGCAGCAATGGATTGAATTAAAGGGTAGTTACAGTGACACTAGCTGCATTTTATAGTTATTATCTGAATGTCTTTATTGACCCTCCCAGAAACTCAATGAGGCATTGTCTTTTGAAGTTCTGAAACTTTAGTTTTTTGTTTTTTTTTTCCACAAAGTCATTTTCATTCAGTAGTAAAACTCCAGATTTAACCGGTTCATGCAGCCTGCAATATAAGTATTTCTTGTAAAGCTTTTACTGTTAATTATTGCAATGAAAGGAGATATTCAGAAAACATTGGTAAATTTTATCCAACTTCTACAAGAAAATGATCCTATATCCTATACCCAGGAATTTATTTCTCCCAATTCAAAGTTTTTTAAACGTACATACATCTTTTGTGCTTCTCTTTTTAATGTTTACCTAGAGTATATGGAAATATACGAATAGAAAGAAAACAGCCATATGTGCATTATAAACTATATCGGACCAACATTCTTGAGATGCCAACATTAGTCTTGGCAGCTTCATGGAATGCTAGTGTGGACCAACTTGTCATCCACGTTTTCAAGCATGTAATTCTTACCTTCCAGTAATAAGCTGACTGCGCGAAGGAGTGCAAATCGGTTGAATGTAATAGTTTTCTAGCTTTACTCCCTCTGCTGCCAATCGGTCTAAAGTTGGAGTTTGAATGTCCGAGCCATGATACCCTACATCATGGAACCCTTGGTCATCTGTTAGGATAAAGATGATGTGCGGGGGGCGAGGATCAGGGGACGCTTGGAGTTTTTCAAGAACATCACCAGGACTGTCAGCAAGCATAGTAGGTTTTACCCAATCCCAGGACATATAACCAAAACTCAGCAGACTGACCAGAGAGAACCCTGTAAGAGTGTGAGCAGCCATGCCAAAATAACAGAACAAAGATCTGGCAGTCGAGATGCAAAAATAATGTTAGCCCTAGGGCAAGAAATGTGACTTTCGTCAATAGTCCATACAGGCAATTTGTCTTTTCAGTAAACTTAAAAAAAATTAATAAATAACTTTAAAAAAATAAAATACCTTTTTCTTTAGACACACTTCAAATTACAGTCATCCCTTGGGGTGAATATATCTTGGAAGTCCTTTCTGGAAAACTGCCATGAACAAATGCCCTGACACCATGAGTCGAATAAATAACGAATAAATGATTAGCAAACCGATTGTGTTTCTTTATTAAGTCATAGGCTGCACTGAAATCACAAAAAAATGGTTAAAGTTATATTCTATCCTGGGAATTCATTTCTCCTGTTCCTCGAAAGCAAACAATGGCTGGCACTAGATAACATTCATTTTCTGATTTCCAGTAGTTCTGAGAAGTGAGTGTAAAATGTTGTCTTTTCCCTGCAAAGAGGATAGTTACAAGTCCAATATATTTTGGAGATTATCTTCTTGGAAAATGTATGTCTTTTTTTATTTGCTTTTCTGTTAAGCTAAGAAACATAGACCTATATTTTTTTATCGATCCAGCAGCTAACTCCATAGCAGTTTTAACAGCTTGCTAGACAACTTTTTTTTTCTGATTTCTGTAGCAGAGTTGCCAGATGTATGGAAAGATTCCTCCTTCAGGCCAGACGAGACTCTGGAATATTTCCCTGAACTTTTCTGGACACATAGAATGAGAAAGAGACAGAGTGAGATTCCCTGCAGACAAGGTCCAAATGAGAAAGGAGTTGTAGCATCTGTTTGGATCTGGCCAGTACGGGCAGGTTAAAGGAAAGCTTGGGATGACGGTCCCTCCCAGTTCCTGACTCCAAAAGAAATGCTGGAAAAGTCAGCCTGGAACACTGCAGGGTCCTAGTGGGCATCCTCTCTCTTTTAAACTTGATATTTAGGCCAGTGGACTGAATAATGTTAATCACTTCTTGTAAACCTGAAAAAAATAATATCTTAAGTGTAGCAATTTAAACACAATTAACTTCAGTAAGCACGTTATTTTGCAGTGCTGCACATTTCATGTATACATGTGTGCTATCCAAAACACCAAAAAATATATTGATAAAACTATTTAACATCAAATAATACCCACCATACTTCTAGTCCAGAATCGCACTCATAAGAAGAAAACTGCTGCCACTGCAGCTACATATGCACATGTCAAGTATTGTGGAATGTGTGCCCTTTGGGGTGGGCCTACTTTCCAGTGGACAGTTAAAAAAGAGGCAGGTGTGAGCTTTACATAATAATAACAAAGCATTTAACCAGGAAAGGTACATTCAGATTACTCTGGTTTTCAAGTACATCCTAAGCCCAACATCCATGGGTTGTTACTATTACCCAAATTAATGATACTCCTTTTATCTACCTTGGAAGGATGAAGGGCTGAGTCAACCCTGCCAAGATTTGAACCTGTAATCCCAAGGGTTGAACAGATTCTACTGATGATGCATTAGCCCATTTAGTAATCTCATCAGCATAAGTGCATCTTTTATTTTCTATATTTGCTGTCAATTTCCCAGCACAGTATACAGATTACACTTTATTTCATCTATAAGTGTTTTGGATGACAGTGTTCCTTTAAGTGTTGAGATTGGCAAAAAAAAAAAAATGCTACAGGTAGAGTATCATGATTCTTTTTTTTTTTTTTTTTGTCAAATTATTTTCAAGTGGTTTGCAAACATCAGAATCTTTCCTAGCTTTGAAAGCCAATCAATTCTCCCTTTACTCAAAGTCTACCATCAGCACCTGGGTAGGTTGAAACATGTTGAAGGTTGAAACATGTTGTGCTACCTGTGTGTTTTCTGCAGGGCCGGCGGTTCCTAGGAAGTAAACACTGAGGGGGTGAGAAGAACACAGGGGGCGAGGGGGGGGGAGGGGGTGAGAAGAGACCGCTAGGGGAGAGAGTGAGGAGAGGAGAGACCACTAAGGGACAGAGGAGAGCTCTAAGGGACGGAAGGGAGAGCTCTATAGGACAGGGGCAGGACAGGGAGTTCTTTCACACTACGCGCACACACACACGCACACACAATGCATCCCTATACATTCACAGAAACACACAATGCATCCCTACACACACAGAAACACAACATGCTTCCCTTACACACAGAGAAACACACAATGCATCCATTGCACACACACACACACACAATGCAACCCTCACACATAAAGACAATGCATCCTTTGCACACATACACACAATGCGTCCCTTACACACACATGCAAAGACACACTGCTTCTCTTACATACACATAGAAACACAATGCATCTCTTACACACACTCAATGCACCCCTTACAGACACACACACTGCACCCCATACATACACAGAAACACACCTTGCATCCCTTATGCATAAAAACACAGATTCACACAATGCATCCCTTACATACAACCAGAACAACACACTGCTTTCTATCCCTTAAACAAAAACACACTGCTTCCACCACACAAAAACACACTGCATCACCTACACAAACAAGTATCTCTATACACTACATTCCATAAGCACACACATTAGATCCTCTACAGTAACACATAACACATCCCCTACACACTCCACTCCCTGTGAGAGAACTCATGGGTGGAACATGTAGGTGGACTTTTGGGTGGGCCTTATGGGCATACTTACCATCAGGCCCTGGGGCCCAGACCTTGAGCTGTGTAAAGGGCTCCAAAAAATGGAGCTGCTTCCCGTTCTCCCAGAACATTGAATTTTGTGACCACAGTTACAAACAGCCTCCAGAGATCCTGTTCTACCCAAGACCAGTGGAGCCAGACTGCAGCCAGAGCCCATCACCATCCTCATCTGGTTGTAAGTAGGCAATCTAGTATATTATTCGTAGCACTAATTTCTAATTTACCTCTCATTAAATGGACACTATAGTCCCCAGAACCATTGCAGCTTAATGAAGTGGTTCTGGTGTCTATAGCCTGTCCCTGCAGGCTTTTTAATGAAAACACACACTATGTGCAGCACTGGCGTTCGTTCATATGGCAGATCATATGGGTTGGGCATTGTGATGTCACCTGGGGGGTGGGGGTGAGGAAATTTTCTTTTGTCTAGGGCGGCAAAAATCCTTGCACCGGCCCTGGTTTTCTGGTATTCTATTTTACCTTTATTTTATTGTTTGTTTAATGAAATTCATTTTATACTTTATTACTTTGGTTTCTGGATACTTATCTTCAAGTTCCAGTGGACCTGCCTGTGAGTCAAGCTCTTCAGCCATATCTCCAGCTTGGTGTAAATGCTGATTAAGTTTAGAGCCAACTTATAGTTTCAGAAATGTGTGAGTTTGTCTGGTATTTTATATTACTTAATTTACTACACCATGATGGTTTCTTTATATATGGTATATGTTATATTATATTGTACAAGGGATAGTGGTAGTTTTAACCACTCTGTTCAAGTTGCTCATTGTGTTATTTTGTGTGTAATCAGGAAGAGACTCACATAACGTGGTATCTGCTATATTCAAAAAATACTCTTTTCACTTGGTAAGCTCTTTGCTTGGTTTTTAGACATATAAGTTATATACCTACTAGTATATCAGGAGGTTGTATACTTACCATTGTACATGAGATAACTATAACCACTGTGTGCACCATTACCTTTTTTGTTTTAGTATTTTAAGAGTGTAAAAAAGTGACATTGCACTTTGAAGTGTTTGGGTTGCACTGGGTTTTGTTTTCAAGAGTGCTATTTGTCCCTTAAAAGGGGCATTATAGGCACCCAGGCCACTTTAGCCCATTGAGTTTGAGTCTCTTAAACAATGCTGGGCGTCCTCACGCTCTGCATGAGGGCATCCAGTGTCAGAGAAATCCCATTAGGAAATCATTGATTCAATGCTTTGTTATGGGGAAGGCCTATTGTGCATGCAGCACTTGCAGTGCATGCGCATTAGGTCCTACTATCAAATGACATCAGGGGAGGTTGAGGGAGATCGGTGCTGGAAACAGGTGAGGAAACAAAGGGTTTGTAGCCCTATATATGCCACTCGGAGGTGGGAGGGACAGATGTGAAGGGGGGGGGGAGGGGGAGGGGACCAGAGGGCACTATATTGTTAGGAATACAACTTTGTTTTCCTAACACTATAGATGCCCTTTCATTTATTGTTATTGATAGTGATAACAGTTACAGAACGTTTCATTAAAGTGAGAATTGCTGGGAATCCCAAGTGAATGTAAAGTTTAAGGCCAACATAGCCAAACAATGCTTCTAATTTGGCTATTTTGGCCTTAAATTTGCAGATAAATATGAATTCACTTTGAATTTTCAACACTTCTTACTTTAGTAAATAGCCATATGTACTTGTGTACTTAGGTGTGGTGCAGTCTGTCCCAGGTAACACCAGGAAGGGAGTTTTTATCTGGGGACTTTTATTTTTAAGAATTATGTGTGCTTCTGCCCACAACACTAAGCTGATCACAATAATAAGCTGTAATAAAGTACCAAATATTGCAGTTTTATTTATACATTGAAATTGTCATTGAACTGTGTCATATATGCCAAGACTGAGATTATATATATGCTGTAAAATTGTACTTACCATTTAGTACATGATTCTATAATATTGTTTGGTGATGTTGGCAAGCAGGATGGTCCATGGTAAATTAGTATGCTTGTGAGATTTAGTTTGTCTACAAATATTTACAGGTACATTATATTTAAAGGAACACTATGGGCGCCATAACAACTTAAACAAAATTACGTTGTTGTGGTACCAGGAGGTCCCGGGAACTGGCTTACCTTTAGAGGTTAAAACATTCATATATTTTTTAACTCCAAAGCCTCCTCTCCAGCACTGGATCGTTCTTCCCCCTCCAACATCTGCTTGTTGAAAAACTTCAAAAGGGAAGCCTAGGACTGGCGAAGCAAAAGGCACCGCTAATTGGCATAAGACCACTCTAAGCCAATCAGTGGCTCCACGTTGAAAAATATGTAATTCAATGCTATACCAGCATTCTGGGTGTTTTAAATAAATCTTCTCTATTCATCAAAATCACAATGTCAACATTTCAGTTCTTTTCAGAACCTTGCTCAGGACTGAGCACCGGGCATGTACTAGCTATGAGAGTTGAGAAAAATATGTACATGTCTCAGGGCACTCGGACCATGTAAAGACCATGTAAAGAGCACCCCCATGCAAGTCCTGTCCTCAGTGGTCGGGCCTGGGGGATAGGCAGGCAGCCTAGCATGCATTCACTTCAGATGACTCTGCCCCTTTTGGCAGAGCCAGTGTCGCAATTGTGTCTCTCAATCGCCTCCATTACCCACCAGCATACCCGTAGGGGATATGGATTTTGTATTAAGCACTCACAGGGGTGTATGTTTTTGGGTTATGAGGCACCTTCTTTCATGATGCTGTGGATTGTAATTCACATGATTCTTAGCTTAGCTGAAATAGTAATAGTAGTTATAGTTCAAAGCATCTTGTAGGCAACTTAACACTTTGTCCACACCTAATCTTAATTCCTCTGTAACCCTACATACTCTCTAAAATTTATGTCCGCTGAATCAATTGCATAGGGTAAAGTGCTGTACCCCACATCATTTTTTGACTCTTTATTTTTGTAAAATTTTCATACTTAGTTTGACAATAAGAGATAAATAAAGTCATACAACGCAACATGAAATTGAATGAGACACATCCCTATAACATTCTGCAAACAGTTATGGTAAGTCTCATCTCCAGAGCTCTTCATTTTAGTGCTCACCTACTGTATATGATTTGCTAAATATTTGTGGTTGTTTGACCGTATGGAATCTTTTCCATTCCTGCATAACAGGAGTCCCACATTTACAATATGGGTATGTACTCTAGACACTGTACTGCTAAAAACCTAATTAACTTTCAGTTCTCCAAAATATTAG